CCCCCACCTCCACTCCAGCCCTCGCCCTGCCCTGCCTCAGTTTCCCCTCTCAGCACTAGAGTGACGTTGTCTGGCCGAGTCTTACCGCTCACACAGTGCTGAGCACACACAGGAAATGGTCAACAGGCATGAGTGGGGTTTTTTAATGGTCTTTCAAGGAAGGAACTTTGGAGTTTAAAGTAACAGTCAGCTGAGCACAGCTCCCTTGTGGCACAGCAGCACCTCCTGTCCGGGGCCCTGTGCATGCCGCCACCCCTACCGCCTGCGGGAATCGGTTCTGCCCCTGACCCCGCCGCTCTCTACTTTCAGGTTTTCTAACCGCAATTCAAGGTCTGAACTCTTCTGACAGCCTGGAGTGCAGTGAGTGCGCTGTGGAGATAAATGCACTGCTGGGGAGACGAGGCCATCCATCATGGGGGAGCGGCGTGTCCCTGAGCAGCCCTGGCCTGCCAGAGACTTGGCGCGTTCCAGAGCGGGGCTCTCCTGGGCACCCCCTGCAAGACGGCATGGGGGCCGAGGCCGTGCAGAGCTGTGTGGCATCTTCCAGCTTAGTTTCTGGGAATAAATCTCCATGACGCAGGTGTCGTGGCTGTACTGACTTGTTTATTTGAGAAGCGGTTGCTCAGAGGAAATGATGAGCTGTGAGATGGACGCTCGAGCTGCCCACCAGGCACACAGCGTCTGGGCGAGTCTTCCCAGAGGAACGGATGCCCTCAGCCCTCGTGGGAGGGATGCCGGGAGAGCAGAGAGTCAGGAGCACTTGTGGGTGCATGCCTGCTGGTGGAGGGCGTGCGGTCACGGCCTTTTACACTGGTGGGACCCAGGGACCCCTAACTCCAGCCCTCTGATGCCACAAAGGGGGAAACTGAGGCCAAGATCCTGGTTGCTGCCCAGAGAGCTCGGCAAATCAGCAGCAGCGTGGGGACGCAAGCCCAGGTCCCCTGACCTTAAATTTCACCCAGGGGCTGTCCTGGCCCCCAGCCCAGCCTTCGCCATGCCCCAAGCAGCACCACGCCCTCCTTGTGACCAGCTAGCGTCCCTCTCCACCACCTCCATCAACCTGACGCTGTCTAGCCCCGGGTCATGCCGACTGCTCCTAGGCCAGCGTCCTGTCCTTCCTCTTACTGCCCACGCAGTCGCCTGCCCCCACCAGCAGCCACAGCTGCTCTAGAACAGCAGCAGTGACGAGCCTACCACAGCAGAGTGTGCTGCCACCCAGGCACCGTCTAGGCACATTCCCTACAGCCCCTCAGCCCACCTGCTGGGACAGTGCTGTCTAAGGGGGACACACACCCATCCACCAGGGCCCTGTGCACACCCTTCGGATGCCACCCGCTGCCGTGGCACCTCGCCCAGGCTGGTGCATCCGTTAGGAATAGAACTTGAGCCGATGTGTGTTTTAAATGTCCCAGTGTCCACGTTAAAGAGAGGTGACATGGAGGGACCGTAAATGCTAAGTGAACGGAGGCACTCTGAAAAGGCTATGTACTGCAGCATTCTGACTACGTGACATTCCGGATAAGGCAAACCGTGGGGACAGCGAAGAGATCAGAGGTTGCCAGGGCGGGGGACGGAGGGATGAACAGGCGAAGCAGAGGGTCTTCAGGGCAGTGGCACTTCTCTGTGTGACACTGCAGTGGTGGACACACGTGTCATTATGCATTTGCCCGAGCCCACAGAGCGGACAGTGCCAGGGTGGACCCACTGTAAGCTGTGGCCCTGGTGGCAGTGGTACGTCAGCATGGCTTCCGTGCTCGGACAGACGTCCCGCTGCCGTGGCGGAGGCCGCACGTGTGGGGACGGGGATGAGGGAACTCTGCACTTTCTGCTCGATTTTGTTGTGAACTTAAAAGTGATTTCAGAAATAAAGCCTATTAATTTAAAAAAACAGGGAAATTAATTTTCAATAGTAGATTTTAATTAACTCCATAATCCTAACTATTATTACGTCAACATATAATCAATATAAAATTCGTAATGAAATATTTTACGTCTTTTGTGCTAAGTCTTTGAAATTAGTGTACATTTCACGGTCGGGTGTCTCCATTCAGACAAATCTGCCACATCCTGAGCGCGGGGCAGCCTCACGTGGCCAGTGGGTGTGTACGACGGGTGGGCCCTGCTCGCTCGGTGGCCCTGGGGACTTGATGTCTCCTTAGTGTCCCTTCTGCTCGCCGCTGGCCAGTTCCCTGCCTGCACGTGCTCACTCGTGCACTCTTCTCCCCGTGAGGGTGGGGACGGTGCCTGTCCTCACCGTGGAAGGGCCCCCAGCCTCTGTGCGGTGGCTGGCACACAACAGGCACTCAGTAAACACGTCCTGTATGAATGCATTTGGACAGGGAAATAAGCTTAGATTCTCAGGCCTTCGTGTGGGGCTCAAAGCATGAAAAAGCTGAGCAAATAACGAATGGGTGAGCGAGTGAAGGGATGAATGAATGTCCCCAGTATCCAGCAGGTGGTCTGGTCTGGGGTCTGATAGACATTTGAGGGGCTGGATTTGTGTTGTCCAGAGGGGCGAGGGAGTTTCTGAGGCCTCCGCAGCCGGCAGTGGTGGCTGCCTATGGTTCACACAGACCACTCCTGCCCCGCGCCCTAGGCCCTGCACCTGAGGCTGCTTCCCAGGGCTGCCATCACGGAGTGCTGCAGCCTGGGCAGCTGAAAACAAAGGAAATTGCTTCTCTCATGGTTCTGGAGGTCACATGTCCAAGACCAGCTCCATCCAGAGGCTCCAAGGGAGGCCGTTCCTGGCCCCTCTCTCGGCGGCCGTAAGGAATCCTTGGTGCCCCTCGGCTTACAGCCGTGTCACTGCAGCCTCTGCCTCCCTCTTCACGCGGCCCTCCCTGCGTGTCTGCGACCCTGCTTCCAAATACGGTCACACAGGTTCCAAGTGGACGTGGATCTGGGGACACTGCTCGGCCCGGCACAGCCTCCCTCCTCCCTTTCAGGCTCTGCACAAATGCCACCTTGTCCGGGGGCCCCCTTGCTGCTCCCACTCTCTTCCCCCACACCGTCCAGTCTTCTTCCGGCCCTCGCTGTGCCACTGCTGTCATAGCTGTGCTGCTTCATCGTCTGTCTGCCTCCCTCCTCCCCGCCATGGGCCAGGCAGAGCAGGCCCCTGTGCACCGCCCCCTGCTGCAGGCTGCCCTGGTGCAGCAGGTGTGAACTGCGCTGGCCGAGGGGGCGTGCGGGGCTGCGGGCAGGGCCAGGGAAGGGGCAGTTGTGAGGCCGGCGGGAGGAGGAGTCGGAGGCAGGTCTGGAGGAGATGGCTCCGCCGCGTGGGCGGGGAGGGGCCAGGGCAGGTCTAAGCACGGCCGTTTGTTCCTGCTGGGGCTCTGGACTCTCCCAGGTCAGATCGATCCTCTGCTAATGGGCCTCTCCCTCCTTCCCAAAGAAAATCGATGCTCTGAGGTTTTGAGAGTAAGTGCCGCCTAATCACACCTCCACTGGCGCCGCGTCCCCTGCAGCCCGCTCTTCCCTGGGGTCCTAGGAGTCAGAGGGCTGCGGGGCTGCTCTCGGTCCTGGCCTAGGAAGGACACAGTCTCTGGGGACTTGTGGCCACGGGGCCCCCAGGCCCAGAGCTGATGAACAGCCTATTTTCCTGGAGCCTCAGTTTTACTTGAAGATTTAGGGAGGAAACGTCTCCATGTAGAAACCACCAGGATGTACTATGGCAGGGAACTTAAAAGCTCCTGTGGGCATGGTGCGTGTATGCCAAAGCCCCCAGGGCTACACACTGGGCAGGGGTGAGAAGCACAGACCTCTCCGTCACTCCCATAGCAAGGTGGCGTAGGCCAGGCTCCGGGCCAGGGTGCTGGGGGCTGAGGCAGGGCCCTAGAGCTTTGGGGTCCAGCCCAACCTCTTGCCCACTCTGGGGGGCTCCCCAAACAGCCCCCAAGCTCAGCTTCCCCCCAGCCCTGTCCCACAAGTCTCAGTAGCAATTAAACATAGAAAGGCTGGGAGGCACGCTGTACACAGCAGGTGCTCAATAGCTGTGCATTCTGTCCCTGTTCCTTTCCCTCCTTGGGTCTGTCTCTGAACTCTGTGTGACAGATGGGTGACGTGGGAATGCTTCCCTGGGGATTTGGCCGCACAGCCTGGCATGTTCTGCAATCCTAGCACATTTTAACAGGTCCGATAAGTGGCATTGGTTTTAGGTCCCTGGGACCTCAATCTCGAATGTAGAATTAATTCCATGTCCTAATGTGTCAATGGCTTCCAAACAACAGACGTGACATTGCTTTCGGTGGCTTCTCTCCCTCCAATTGCCTCTGGGCTGGGGCGAGCTTGCAGAGGTTCGCACCTGTGTCCCTCCCGGCGGCAGGAGGGCCCTGCCCGGGTGGTGCTGTGTTGGATCCTCGTCTCCCAGAGTGTGCCTGGCATGTTGCTGCTCCCAGGCCAGCTCAGTGCTCTGGTACCTGCCTGCTGTCCCCTACCATCCTGTGCTGGAGGTGGCGGCCAGGGCGGAGGGAGGGAGCTCATTGGAGGGCTTAGGGTGCAGAGAAGGGAAGAGGCAGCAGTGGGCACCATGATGCCAGCACAGTCGGGGAACATTCTGGTGGCAAACAGGACGCCAACTGGCATCAGACAGGCCATCGTTCAAATCCTGAGCCGGCCACTTACCAGCTGAGTGATTTCAGGCAGGAAACTGTGCCCTCTGAGCCTCGTCCCGGTCGTCTGTGAGTGCACAGGGTGACCTAGACGTGCCGGCACACAGCAGGCAGTGAGGAGGTGGCTGGCTGGGGTTTAGAGTGGGAAGGACCTGACTTCGAATCCTAGCTCTGGACCTCAGCACGCGTCCTCAGTGTCCCCAAGGGAGCCCCGTCTCCTCACCTGCCATGTGGGGACACAGCGCTCCTGGGGAGGGTGTCTGTGACTACGTCCAGGGCATCTGGGCGCTCTGCCAGCACCCGCTGGCACAGGACAGGTATTGGATACCGTGTGGCTTGATCAGCGCCGCACCTAGAGGTCGAGTGGCTGACAGCTGTCCCCTGTTCCCCCAGGTCCTCGGATTTCGGGACGTCCTACACCAAGCTCACCCTCCAGCCTGGTGTCACCACCGTCATTGACAACTTCTACATTTGCCCAACCAACAAGAGAAAGGTAGGTGCTAGAAGCAGGCGGCTGCAGCTCCAGCTCCAGCCCCACGGGGCCCTGCCTTGTGCCGCTCACTGCAGAACCCAGAGGCTGATGCGCCACCCGGCTGGGTTCCTGCTTTGGGACAGTGGCCCAGCAGTGGGGTGCCAGCCCCTGCTCTTGCAAGCCAGCCTTCCCAGTGCCACTGCACACCGTCTGATGGCTGTGCTTTAATACGCTGGCCAGGCCCCTGGAGGGAGGCACTGCGCACTTGCCTGGGGCACGTTCGTCCATCCAGGCGCAGCGGCGAGGGGTCGGAGGGCCCTGGGCACAGGAAGAGAACCAGCTCTTTTTGGTGTGGGGTCCTCAAAAGGCAGCGTTGAGCAGGCCGGTCCTTCTGAAGGGCTTTCGTTTATTTCGTCTGATGTGGCTTTGATTGTCCTCTGGTCTGAGTGGTGTCCCCTGACTTTGCTCTCTGGCTGTGGGAAATACCATCTCGCTTTCCAAAGCAGGTGGCCGTGCTGTGTGTTTTCCTCTCCTTGACTGGGGCTGTGGGAGCTCCTGGCAGAGCTAGGATGCAGAGGGGGGGAGGGCCACCGCAGGGGAGGGCCACGGTGCCCGCCTGGAAGGGCGAGTGAGGCAGAGGTGGGCAGGGTTGGTCTTGGCCAGCCCTGCTTCCCCAGAACCCACCTGGGGGACTCACACGCCTGACCGCACTCCACCCCACAACCACCCAAGGAACAAGGCAGAGAACCGAGCAGGGAGAGGTGAGACTTGCCTACTGGGGAGTGGCAGGGAGCTGGGACGAGGGGGCTGCCTTGAGGCGACCGCCTGGCGTCTCCGCCTGGGCCTGAGTCTGGCCCCATAGCACACTGGCTCTGCAACCGCAGGCTCCACGCCCTCCTTGTCAGTGAAGTGGGGGTAACAGTGTCCGCACTGCCGTGTTGGCGGAATTAATGAGATGCTACTTGCCGAGTGCGCCTGGGAGCAGCCCTCGTCCTCAGTGAGAGGCACGGAGGTCTCCTCGCCACTCGCCTGAGACTCTGGGGTTGGGCTTGGTTCCAGGGGACCAAGCTTCACTGCGTGGCCCCGGCCAGCGTTGTCTGGAGCGAAGGCCCTGACAGGTGGCTGTGCCAGGCAGGGGGGGCACCACCCTGGTCCCTCAGACCAGCACCACCTGCTGTTAGCATGGCTGCCCACACCTCCGTGTTGAGAGAACAGAGTAGTTATCAGTGATGGGAACAAGGCCAGCAACTTGTTACCTGACTAACAGGGTGGCATGTGTGGCTGCCATGCTGCCGGCTGCCTGTGCTTCTGCCACCGAGAATGAAGCACCTGCCCCTCTGTCTGCAGAGGTGTTGATGGGCTGCGTGCTGAGTGGGGCTGGGGACAGAGGTCAGGGAGGCCGGGAGCGTGCAGACTCAGAGGCTCGCGGAGCAGAGGGCCCGAGCCCCGGGCTGCAGGCCCCACTGTGTGTCTGCTGGGTATGACTGCGGGCAGGTTTCTCTATTGCTTCATGCCTCGGTTTCCTTGGCTGTGAAGCAGGGTCTTAATAGTGGAATAAGGTGACCTGAGTTAATATGCGTGCAGTACGTAGAATAAAGCTGGCACAGTTTGACAGAGGTCTCGCAGTCGGTAGGAGCTTGGCTTGATTTGGTTTTAAAAGGATTTAGGGGCAGAAGAGCCGCAGTCATGGTTCCAGAGAGAATTAATCTGAGGCCATGTCAGGCAAGGAATGGAGGAAGCTGGTTAAGGCAGAGAGGAAGACTCGGGGGGCTCAGGGCTGGTCTTCTCACACTGGAAGGGTGGTCCTGGGGACACAGCAGCCCGTGTAGTCTGCAGGGTGGAGGCCAGGTGTGATTCCTCTCCACTCCTCAGCCCTGCACAGAGCACTCAGAACTCAGGAAGCACAGATGCAATGGACTGTGCTGGGGCTGAGCTGGGACCTTTCTGGAAAAGAGATTTGGATGTAATACAAAGCAAAACTGGCCTTCCATCATGGCACTAATTTATCCACTTGTGATAGTTTGCTGGTCCCTTCAGCCATCCCTGGTGATGACTCACGGTATGCCAGGCCCTGGGCCAGAGGCTGAGGTCCAGCATAGTCAGCTACATGGGTGGGTGGGGCCTGCCCTGGCCCGCCACCCCATCACCCAGAGCAGAAAGCGGAGGGTCAGGGAGGCTCGGAGATTGCCCAAGTCACCCAGCTGGTAGACAGAAAAAAAGCAGTCGTGACGCATCATGCTTGGCCTTGCCCAGGATTCAGACCCAGGTCTGCTGGACCTGGAGCACCTCTGTCATGCTCTGGCGCACCAGGCACCCTGCACCAGAGCACTGGGGGAACAGTGGGGCCCCCAGGTCTGTACAGCCCAGCCTACTCGCTGGAGTTGGAAATCGCAGCTCCTTACCCTACACCAGCTGCAGCCTGGTGGGTGCTGAGCTGTGTAACTGTGAGCAGATCCCATTTCCTCTCCAGGCCTCAGTTTCCCCATCCCTAAGAGGAGGAACTGAAGGCTCTCCAGAGCCCCTTCTACCTCCGACATCCTGGCCCCTCTTGGTCTCCTTCCAGGGTGATCCCGTGGGAAGGGCAGCAGCAGGAACGAGACACCCGTGGGCAGATCCCCCACGTGGCTGCAGCCACCGCTGTGCCTCGGCCTGTGCATTGCCTGGGCGAGAGGGCAGGCTGGGCACGGCCTTCGGGCCCCTCCCAACACCTGCACCCATCCGTGCAGCAGATGCGGGCGAGGCCCTGGTGTGTGCCAGGCTGCAGGCTCGGTGCTGGAGAGAGAACCTTTTTGTCCAGTCTCGTAGACAACAGGTGCAGATCAAGTACCTACCAGGTCCCAGGTTTCTTGCTGGGCACTGCGGAGCAGAAGTGAATCTTCTAGAACCTCTGAGGGTCTCACAGGGCCCTGCGAAACTGAACCTCCCCTGCTGTGTGTTTGTGGGAGGAATGGAAAAGGGCTGACGTTGGGTTTGACCCTGGGTGACTCTGATCTGGGGAGAGACAGGGCCCTCCATTTCTATTTGCAGGGCGCCACGCCGTGTTATCGGTAACGGATGGCTTTGCAGGAAGACGTGACTACTATTTGGAGTCCATTTAGCAACAATTACAGGCTGAGCAGCACTTTATAGCTTCTTGGAGACCACTTTGCAACCTGTCTCACAAAATGAATTCCCTTTTATTTGTGTCTTGCCTGTAGTACAATCAGAACTTCCTAGCCGTGATGGCAGGGCAGGGCATTCTGCCATTGTGGCATGATCTGGGCCCTGGGGACCCAGACGACCCCCGGGCACCTGCGTGGCTCTGCGCCGCCTGCAATTCCCGCCTCAGATTTGGGCTGACGGCATCTTTCCTTGTGTCTTGGCCTCAAGAACCCTTTGGCCTGGGGGCAGTGTGAAGGCACAGCCCCGAGGAGCTGGCCCGGGCATGGAAGTACTACCAAGTGTCATGTTTTACATTAAAAATTTACGTGAATTTTCATCTTACTGCATTAGATATCAGTGTTGGTTTGAATACTAAAATCACACACACACACACATTTTCACCCAAAAAATGTTGATGTCAAACTGATGTCCCAGGAGAATGCTGCATCCCAGGCCCCCGCCCGCCCCCCACTGTGGGCCCTCCTGGGTGTGTGACTCCCGGTGGAGCGGCAGGGGGTGGGGACGAGAGCCCCTCACTCACCGGAGTCTCTGTGAGGCACCACCACGTGCCAAGCACTCAAGATGGAGAAAGGAATCGGACCCAAATCTTATCTTGGAGACTCTCAGTGTTGCAGAAAGCAACAAAACCTGTTCGGCAGAGCAGCGTGGACCACGGTGAAGCACGCACCGTGTTCCGAGGCCTCTGCGAAGGGTCAGGTGCGGTATCAGGACCTCTGAGGATGCGTCTCTAATCCCTGCAGGGTAAGGAGTCCTGTGCCATTTTACGGGCGAAAGGAAGCGCGCGCTGCTTCCCCAGGGCCCGCAGTCCGTGGGCAGGTGGAACCCTGGTGTCCTGCTTGGATACAGGGCACGTAGAGTGTTGACGTGGTGTCGTGGCTACACTAAAGAAAAATGTGGATAGAAGCAACACGAGAGCAGGAGTCGACAACTCTGAATCCAGGGTTCCAGCTTGGATGTCCACTCATGGCAGGCAGCAAGGCGGGGTCACCAAGTGGCACGCTCTGCGTACTGTGGACCCCAGCCATGGACAGGATTCCCCACCAGTCCCCAAGCCTCAGGGCCCAGTCCCTTCTGTAATGAGCCTGAGGAAATTGTCCCCAGCAGAGTTCCAAGGCCAGGGGAGCCGGGAGGGACGTAGCTGTGTGCCTGCTTCAGCCACACCAAAGGGGGCACTCGCAGGCCACCCCTAACCCTCGGGCAGGCTCTGAGCGTCCCCACAAGGCCCCTGCCATCCCCAGGCCTCCCCTGTGATTTTAGCACAGGGTATGGCCGGGCCCCCCCGAGGTCTGTTACTGTGAGGGGCAGGAGCCCTGCCTGGTGGGAAGAGAAGCCAGAGTGGGGCCCCATGGAGGACTGGGAGACAAAGCAGGGGCCAAATGGGCTGAAACTCCCAATGGCGATACTCTCCGTTCTCCTGATGGCCAGGCATCCACTCCTGTCCAGGAGAAAAATGGCTCACCTGGGCGCATCAGTGTCTCAGGAACAGAGTGCACCCCGTGAAACTCCAGCCTACTGCACGGAAAATCGTCCCCTCGTAAAGTCACCAGGTCACTGCGAGAGAAGGAGAAAGAAGAACAAACGGCCCCGCTGCTCAGAAAGCAAGTCTCCTGGGCCTCCCGCCTCGGGAGCCACTGAACGGCGAGCGGAGGAGACTGGATTTACTCTCCCCCGAAGAGAGTGCAGAACATGAGAGCCCCAGAGACCAGAGCCAAAAAGTGAAGTCAAAAGTACGGAGGCCACCCGGCGTCTCAGGGCCGCCCACACGTGCTCAAGGAGCTCCAGGCCTCTTCCGGAGAGCTCCGCGGACCCGCCTTTGCCCGGCGCTGAGCTCCATGGCTCTTTACCTGTGTCCATTTGTC